CTTCCAGTAGAACAGGCCTTATCTATAGGGAAGTCAAGGAACCCCTGAAGCTACCTACTGGGAATGCCTAGGAGATAAGGAAGTGTGGGGGGCCAACCCCTGCAGATATTGAGGATCCCTGGTAGGAAAGACAGCATCGGCGATTAAACTGGAGGGATAGATATTAAAAGAAAGATTGGACTCTGTCTAGTGCAGAAGCCATTTAATGGGACAAACCAAAAACCTTATATGCTAAAGTTTCACAGGTAAAATCACAAGAATCTCAAGTGAACACAAAGCCAGGTGGATGAGTAGTGTCCCACACCCACCAGGTGTTTCTTCAAGCATGAGGAAGGATAATCCCAATTAAATCACACTGTTCCTTATGCTTGGTTAACGTTCCTCAAAAGCAATACAACAATTCTAACATCATTCTATTGTAATAATCGTAACTTCTAAAGCTTATGCATACACAACACCTAATGACTAATTAAAATCCTAATACCTTTCTATTCTATGGTAATTCTATGTAAACTATGGAAACTCTTTAATTCTATCTCAAACCAGCTCCTGAAAAATGTGGCCCAGTCGAAAGATCACTAGGCCGTTTCTAAAACAATTGATTACAATCTCTTTACAAAATGGCTATTCTAAAATCCTATATACCTATGTTAATGTCTATAAAAGTTTCTAATTCTTAATCCTAATATATAAAGCTGATCATCAGCAATAAAGCTTCTAAAAATAAAGACAAAATATAAACTAAATTGTACTAAGGCCAAAAACCACAATTAATAGAAAATGGGAACAATGGAATTTCTAAACTTAGCTGTATTCTTATTAAACCTCAAAATATGATTTTTGATCATGCTTTAACTAAGATAATTCCCTGACATAGCATGACCTATTCTACAATACTTTCTATGAGTAAAATAAATTCAGTTTCTATAATAAGTAGAAAGACCCAACACTAACTGTAGCTAAAAACCAGTTTAAAAGAATGCACCCAGTTCAAAGTACACCCTGGGCCCTTAGGAATGTGGCCCAGTCCAAAGTTCATGCTGGGCAATTTCTGATAACTCTAGATGATCATCTATACCATCTAAAGCTGAAAATGGCTCTCCATATGTATATACTAATTTTACAAATATACTTTTAAATCTAATAAAGAAACTTGTACCATCTTAAAGGTTCCCAAATGTGACCTGACTTTGAATTATATATAATACCTAAGCTGAACCCGCAGTTCATGGGAAACAGGAACAATGAGTTTCTAGAATTAGCCACACCTGTCAAAATCACAGCGCCTTCAGCTTAGGTCAGCAGAGTTCCTTTTCGCTAAGTGTGCAAAATAGAAAAAGGGAGGAGGGAATGGGGTCAACAGCTCCCCCAACACATCCTAGTGGTCTTGGGTTCCACAGCCCTCCCTGATCCCTAATGCTCAGTGGACCTCTGTGGCCAGCTCCCAACAAGGAGGACATACACACTCCTTTAGCTCCAAGAAATGTCATTCGGGAAGATACAGGAGAATTGGAATCCGTGTCACATCATTTTCTAGGTTCTATGATAATGTGAGTGAACATTAATGAGTCTCTGTGTCACAGGATCTCCAAGACATCCATAGGTGGTAGATATGGAAGTCATGGGTGGTCGCATGTAGTCATGAGCAACCTCTCCAAATAAAGGATGTAAGCCAAGTCTTGGGGGGCTACAAAGCCACACTCACCTAGAATGTAGGCCCACTCCCTGTCTGTGGAAGGTGAAATTTTCTTAAATAAGTCTTTTCTCTAACCTCTTTGTTTTGTAATTCTTTGCAATTTACTCAGATCTCTGGGTTCCCAGAGCACACCTCTGGTTTGCCAGCCCCGGCAGTGCTTTGCACCTCCATGCACCTCTACACCCTCACCCTGTCCGCCAGTACCCTAACATTTGGTATCACTTGTCTGTAGTTCCAGCTACTTGGAAGGCTGAACTCAAAGGATTGCAAGAGCCCTGCAGGTTGACACTGCGGTGGCCGAGAGCATGCCACTGTACTCCAGCCTGGGTGACAGGATAAGACTACAACCCAAAACAAAAAGAGAATATACAAGACTCATGTTATACAATCAATGATCCTGGAGCAGATAAGCGTCTAAAATTGGCTCCCAACCACATATTATCTAGACCTCCCAAAGGACATTGTGGGGATCTGGATGATGCCATAACTGAGCCAGATCATAGAACACATGTCCATCCAGTAGGGTAGATCTGGATATTCACTATTGTAAGAACTCATCTCTATCAGTTTGGAGAGATCTGGACACTCACTATTGTACAAAGAGAGCACTGTGCAGACCAAGCTGCAGGAGGGGCTGCTGAGAATTCATTTGCTAGAATAATTTTGTTCTGAAAGCATGAGATAAGAAAAAAGACCTAAATGTTTTTCAGTAGTTGCAGACTCAACTGAAAATGGAGAATCCTGCCTGAACCTGGGGATTGAGATGAGCCTAGGCAACTTGGCAAAAATTCGTCTCTACAATAAAAAGTAACAAAATTAGCTGGGTGTGGTAGGGTGTGCCTGTAGTTACAGATACTTGGAAGGTTGAGTGGAAGGTTTGGCACTGTCAACCAGCCTGGACAAAAGAATGAGACTCCCAACTAAAAAGAAAAAAGAAACTCTCAGCAGCCCAATAAAAAAAGAAGACAGACTACGGCCTGTGACATGCAGCTAACTCCTATTCTTGCACAGCCAGGAAATCTTTTCCCGTATACAGCTCTGGTCCCCACCTTAGAGCATCTTTGCACAAAGTGAGGCCACATTTTTAATTTGTAACCATGAAAGAACACACCAAGTATGGCACACATACAGACTTGGCTTTCTGGGCCCACATTTGCCAAATTTTCATCATTCCTATAATCTGGAGCATGTACCAAATACTGAAATCCTGGACCCAGAACTGTGCACTTGGCCTCATACTTCTGCCTCATTGGAGGTCAGGTAATGGACATTTGGGGCACGGAAGTTCAGCCATCACTACCTCCTTGAGTAGAAAATGTTGATGACTGGTGTGTGCATTTCTGCTCACCTTCATCAATGTCCTGGTTGCTCTTCAAGCCTGGTGACATCACTGGTTTGGCCCTGCGGGGCATGAGTGGGCCCCAGGTAGCCATACACCATTCCAAGTGTTCTCACCCTGCCTTGGACCAAGTACTAGTTTTAGTCAGAGCCACAGGTTCCCTGTATGATCATCCTAGGTGTCCCTAAATCACATTTTCTCCCAGAAATCAGGTTGAGTCCAGCTTGGATCCTTCAGTGTTAAGTCTTGTGCCCTGTAAGAAAGACACTGTCACATAGATTGACCTGCATGAGGATCAAGACATGCTGCTGGCTGGCTAGGGCTTTGTGGATGCCACACTCACCCTCTCATCCAGAGGTTTCCAAGTGTCCAGATTCCTTGTTGACATTAATTTCACAGAGCTGAGGAGCTATGTGGAGATTTGGAGCAGCTCTCTGTTAGCTGCCCTGAGTTTTTCTGGGCCATGTGGGCCACTTTCCCATAAGAAAGTTAATATGCAAGTGTCACCATAAGGAAGAGGGGTATCTCAGATTTAGTGGGATGGACAGGTCCTGGTGTTAGAGCAACAGTGGAGTATCAGGGTGAGGCTGACCTGTGGTACTAACCTCAAAGGGAAGATCTAGAAAAGACAGGAACCCAGCATCCTTGTTCAAAACTATATCGTGGAAAACATTGTCTTATGATCTCCAGATGCGTGGGGAGTTTGAGAACAAATTTAAGAAGGGAATCACCAAACAATTGTCAATTCTGAGCCAGGGATATGCTGGCCACACCTGAGCCTCCAGGCCCCTGGAAAGCAGACTACTTCCCTGCAATCTATGATAGCCCCAATTGAAAATGTGCCTCAATTTGGGATCAGGCCAGCAAGGAGACATTGGGGAGGATTCCTGATTGAGGGGTGCTACCATATGGCTTTTTTGGGGGGCATTGTAGTCTCACTCTGTCAACCAGGCTGGAGTACAGTGGCATGCTGCTGGCCACCGCAGCCTCAATCTGCTGGGCTAAGGTGATCTTTTTGCCTCAGTCTTCCAAGCAGCTGGAAATACATGTGCACACTACCACACCTTGTTTTTGATTTATTGTATAAAGAAAGTCTCACAAAGTTACATAGGCTGGTCTCCAGTCCCTGAGGTCAGGCAATCCTCTCACCTTGGTTTCCCAAATTGCTGGAATTACAGGCTGGAGCCACCATACCCAGCTCTCTGTTGATTCTATTAATGTAACTAATAGAATTGATACATTCGTGAAAGTGGAATATCATTTTATTCCTGGTACAAAGGGCACTTGATCATAATGTGATGTTCTAATATGCTGACAATAGGTTTCTATATCCTTAAATTTACATTAGAATGATTTTTCAACAAGAATATATGAAATTGTTAGTATGCAATAAATATTGTGTGTGGAGGTTTTCCTCAGCCAAGTAAATCACATTTTTATAGTTTTCTAATAGCTGGATATAATCTGGCATTTTTACTTTTCTGTAAAGAATTAAATGGCCACATCCCCGAATGTCAATGTACCCTGAAAACAAGATATACTTACCAAGCGACCGTGGGCAGAATTGTTAACTGCAGGAGAAATGAGAGTGAAAAGGTTCTAACTTTTATGACAATGGAAATACTTGATAATTTTGGACACAGAAATATCCTATCATGTATTCTTTGAGGAAATGGAATGAAATAGGGTTCACTGAGCTAGTGCAGACAGTATACTTTATTGAATGATACAATATAAAATTTAGGCACAAACACAGTTGTGTACATTTTGGAGGACTGTGTTTCCATCACACAGGATAAGTAGTATATATGGCTCAGATAAAAAAGTAAGAGTTAGAAGGAACCCTGCACATTTTAATGTGTACAAAATGGAAATGAAGTGCAAAAAAGCAAAATCTGATTCAGGAGATCTGGGGTAAAACATGAGATACTGCTTTTTTTTCTTTTCTTTCTTTCTTTTTTTTAGCTTGGGTCATCGTTTCTGGCATGCAGTTCCTTAACCACAGCTTACTACAGCCTCTACCTCCTTGGCTGAACAGATCTACTCTGCTCGCCCTCGTGAGTAACTGGGTGTATTCAAATGCACAGGCACACCAGGTTAATTTATTGATATGGGGTAGAGATGATGGCTGGCTATATTTCCTAGGCTGGTCTCAACTCGTGTGTTCATTATATCCTTCTGCCTCAGCTTCCTAAAGGGCTGGAATGACAAACATGAGAAACTATTAATGCTCTGACTTTCTGCACTGGTAACAAGCTCACCAGTGATGCCAATTCTTCTGGCCCTAAAGAAATATTTTTCAAACATCTGCCAAGTGACAGAGTTTGAATTTGTCTCAGTTTATCTGACAAGTAAAAATGAGAACCTTCTGTTTTCATTGTTTTCTACAATTTCTTGTGGGGTACTGACACCATTTTAATTTCTTTTTTTGAGTCAGAGTCTCACTCTGTTACCCAGACTGGAACGCAGTGGCACTCTCATGGTCACCACAGCCTTGGCCTGCTGGGCTCAGGCAATCCTTCCAACTTAGTCTTCCAAGTAGCTGGAACTAGAGGGGTACTAATACACGTGGCTAATTTTTTGAGGTTTCACCAAATTGCCTGGGCTGTTCTCAAACTCAACGAGCTCAAGCAATCCACTTTGCCTTGGCCTCCCAATATGCTAGGATGCAAGCTGAGACACTGAGCCCAGGCTCTCACATCATTCTCTACAAATGCAGTCATTACAGTGTATGTGCTGATGAAAAAAAAAAACATGGAGCAAGTAATACTTACTAGGGTAGGTAAAAATGGCCCAGTAACCTGGATGCAGTAGTTCATGCCTGTAATCCCAGCTCTTTGGGAGCCCACAAATTCGAGATCAACTTGCTAAGAACTCATCTCTATATAATAAAATCAAAATTAGCCAGGCATAGGTGCACGTGCCTGTAGTTCTAGCTACTTGGAAGTCTGAGGTGGAAGAATCACCAGAGACCAGCAGGTCAGGGCTACAGTGACCACAAGAGTGCCACTGCACCCCAGCCTGGGTGACAAAGTGAGACTCTGAATAATAATAAAAGAAGAAAACCAAAAAAACAAGAGTATTCACTTCACAGGACCTTGGATGGATTTCAAGTCTATAATATAAGAGATTGAGCCAGGGATGTTGCATCTCACTTGTAATACCAACACTTTGGTAGGTGGAAATGAGAAGACTGCCTGAGGCCATGGGTTGAAACCACCCTGGGCAAGTTGACAAGAATTTCTCTATACAATAAATTAAAAAATAAAATTAGCCAGGCTTGGTTCCAGGTGCTGGTAGTTCTAGCTACCTGTGTGAAAAGGATTCAAAAAAAGAGAGAATAAGTTCTCAGTGATGTATTACATAACACAGATCTGAGTATTATGTGTACTCACTCATAAGTTGACCCTGAACATTATTCAGAATACTAGAAGAAAGTGACTGACAGTATTGGGACACAACCATGGGAGTGGGTGGACATAATATCAACAAAAGTACCCAAACTTTACATGTACCTTAAATTGTTCCCTACATTTTAAAATAAAAATAATATTGAAAAGAATAAGAAATAGAAGAGAATAGAAAACCTGGTTTCCCAGGATGAGGACAATGTCAACACACAATTTCTACTCCATACTAAGTATTTCATATCCATTCTTTCAGAAAAATCACATTTGAGTAGAAATGTAAAAAATATTAGAAACATTGTGTCAGCATATTGCAACATTACATCATGATCAATCTCCCTTTATGTCAGGAAAGAATAGGAGATTCAGTATTTGGGAATCCATCAATACAATTGGTCACATTAACAGAATCAATGAGAAAGTGATATGATCATGTTAACAGTTTAAAATGATATTCTGACACTTTTAGAAAACAAGTATACATGTATAAATCAATGGATAAGGAAGTAGTATATGATATTTCTGAAACACATGAAAAACAGTAGAAATAAAAAGTAATGAAAATATATTTTGGGAAGAAAGTTTAAATGGTATCACTAAGTTGATATCCTCTAATGAGTTCATCAATTAAGCCTGATAATGACATAGACACCAGCTATTTTTGTTCTGGAGAAAAAAAATCTTTTGTGCACAAAAGAACATTTAAATTGGAAATCCATAAAAATCTGAAAAGAATAGGATGATGTTATACCTAATAAGGACTAGGAAAGTAAAGCAGTGCTATAGTGACTTTTTAAAAAGATTGAGAAATCAAAGTAATACAAAGTTTAAAAGGAGAATAAGACACACAAATAAATGCACTATACAATCAAGCCACAGTGGAGGTAGAGAAGTAGTGACCTTGCTGTTTCTCACTGGAGACTGAAGTTTACACATGTGGAGAGACTTTGTCTTCCAGTGTGTTTGCTTCTTGCAGGTCTTCCTCACCCGTGTTAGCCAGAGATGACCCAGCCTTTCAGACTTGTCAGAGTCTTGGAGTCAGTGTCCTCTGGACAGTAAGTACTTAATTACAAATGAGTTCTGATAAAAGATCAGCCATTATTATATGCAATGGAAGATCCATCACATATTACATCAGTGATGGATAATGTTCTAAAAACTTCATGATTCTTCCATTTGTCATTTAGGAAGCACAGAATTCTGTTAAATAAAATGGGTGAAACTACACTTTTCTTCTATCTAAATATTTTAAAATCTGACGTTGCCATTGACACGGTGTCTGTAACTCAGTGTCCACCATAAGTTGATTCTCTCTCATTATGTCCCTTACTATTTCACTTCCATTATGTCTTCATACAGAAGTATGACATTGTCTTCTTAAAGTATGCTTCTTAGAAGCTGCTCTTGGTAATCAAACCTCTCAGGTATTTTATCTGAAAAACATTTCTTTTTTCCTATTCTTGAAACATATCCGATTCTACCTTTAATAATACTTTATATCAACACTGTTAATACTAGTTTCTCTGCTTTCAAGAAAACACAAGTTTTGGAAATACTCTTAGTGATTTTAATGTGGTTTTGTTTTGTAAGTTTAATTTATATTCATTTATATACTTCTGCTTAGAATTTATATACACACACATTTTTGAATGGCATCTCTCTGCCACCCAGGCTAGAGTTCAGTGGAATGATTATAGTTCAACCTATTGGCTCAGGCAATTCTTCCCTCCTCAGACACCCGAGTATCTTGGGACAACATGCACTACCACACCCAACAAATTGTTTCTTATTTTTTATGGATATGAGTTATCCATGCTGCTCTGAAACCTCTGGGTTCAAGATGTTCTCCCACCTCAGTCACAGAAAGTATTGGTAATACAGTCCTGAATCACCATGCCTTGCCCCTCACTGCTTTTAGTTGTTTTTTTTTGTGATATCATGCAGTTTGATTAATATTGCTTTTAATACAGTTTTATTTTTCTATTTTTGACACATTAATTCCAAATAGGAATTTATGTCTGGTTATTTTACAAACTCATACATCAACTAATCTTTGGAAATGACCTTTTATTTTTATTTTTTCACATATTTTACTAAACCACTACATAAATATTTCGGAAATGTTTCATATTTTACATTCAAGTCACCATTTATGTAGAACTGTAATCATAATTTTTATCACTTGGACTTTAACACTTTGAGTATATAAATTGTGCTCAATATTTCCACACAATAGAACTGCTATCCGCTCAATCTAATTTTATATTTATCTCATACATTTTATCTTGATTTATTATATTCATAATTATGTTGGCTTTGCTGTTTTCCAAATAGGGCTAGTCAAGATTATACTGTCTTGTTATTTCCACATCTATTTTTCTCACTGTACTGTTAGCCCATGAAGAACATGGGTTTGACCTGTATAGGTCCAGGTTTTTTCAGCAAATACACTGGAATTTCATTTTTGACAATTTGTGATCATGTAAAAGAAATGCACAGAAGCACAGTTTAGAAATATACTTTTAAAATGTCATGAGACGGGCTCAGTTGCTCAGCCTGTAATCCCACTCCTTTGGGCGGCTGAGGTGAATGGATTGCCTGAGCCCGCAGTTTCGAGACCCACCTGGGCAACTTGGCTAGACCTCATCTGTACAATAAGTAAAAAATTAGCCGGGTGTGGTAGCATGTGCCTGTAGTTCCAGGTACTTGGAAGGCTGAGGTGGAAGGATCACTGGAGCCCAGCAGGTTGAGGCTGCAGTAGCCGGAAGCAGGCACTGCACTCCAGTGTGGTGACATAGTGAAACTCCAATTAAAAAAAAAAAAGTCATGAGGACTCAGGTAGAAGTATATTCTTGTCCATTTTGACATTTACTATTATAGATATACAAATCTATCATACAAAGTTAAACTTATAATTTATGCACTTACAAGGTATACATGACACCATCAGATGTTGGGAAAGGTGTAAATAAATGTAAAGATGCAGTTTTAACTCATGAAGGCATAAAATTAGCTATGACACAAAGTGTATCAGTCAATAATTTTGGGACCACTTCCTGCTGCCAAGTGATTAATGCAAGTGTTGTGCGACTATGTTTGACACAACATGTGATGCTAATGTTTCCATGACCATTTGGTCTGTCCAGAGTGAACCTAGAAAATTACAAAGAATCACTGTATTTATGGTAAAAGAGTGGAAAGGAAAGGGTATCAAGATATAAATGTTGAAAATATTCCAGAGCCCAGACCCACCCCACAGGGGTTAGAGGCAGATGACTTGAGGGGACGAGTGCTTCCAACACAGTGCCAGATGAATAGAAAGGAAACAAGAGACTGAGCATAGTGATTCATGCCTATAATACCAGCACTTTGGGAAGCAAAGTATAGCAGACTACCTTAGTCTAGGGCTTCCAGGCCAGCCTAAGCAACTTGGTGAGACCTTATCTTAACAATGAATTCATTTGTTGGCTGGGCATGATGGCAAACATTTGTGACACCAGCTACTCAGTAGGCTAAAAGAGAAAGACAGCCTGATACCATCACATTGAGGCTGCAGTGACCATGGATTTTCCACTGTATTCCAGCCCAGGCATCAGAGTCAACATCCAACCTAACATATAAGTATTTACAATAGTCAGGATTCAGAAAGT